GTTCGCGGACAAGACCGCGGAGGCGGCCAAACCCATCGATCTCGAGGCGCCGCTTAAGCCGGCCTCCGAGGATGCCATGGACGTCGATGCGTCGGCCTCGGCGATCGGGGAGCCACAAGGTTTGGTTGTTGTTTCCATTGTCTCAGCCTCATGAGCGTTGATGCCGTTACTGACTAATTTATTGTGCTGTATTATGGTTGTGGCAGAGATGGTTGTCCCGGAGGTGAACAAGGAGATACTCACGGACCTTGAGGGCATGGGTTTCTCGACAGCGCGCGCCACTAGGGCGCTTCACTTCTCTGGTATTTGACTGAAACCAGAAGAAAGTCCACTTGCGATTTTGTGGCCTTGGTCAGAAAATTTTCTTCATTATATATAAGAAGCGTGGATAAGTGTACAATTGATGATGCCTTATTTTGTTTACTGGATTTTGATATTCTCCCTAGTTGATCCTTTGCAAAGTTAAAAAAGTGGTTTTGCCTTCTTTAGGAACACATGCTGTCAAGAGAATAAACTTGCATCTAACCAATGATAATGTCCTTTAGAGAAGATTTAGAATGAAACCGCAGTAGTCTAAGGATCTGCTTAGGCTATTTACCTTGTATGATAGTCAGCATTTTTCACTCTTGGAAGCATAAATAATATGTCCGTTAAGAATATCTAACATATTCTTTCTCCAACTTGGATTTATAAGGTTCTGTAGCAAACTGCCATGCTAGACTGCAAGGAGAGTACAATGCATGAATAGTTGATTTTTTATGCCACTAAGATACTTTAGACATGCTACTTGTAAGTCAAGACTTTAGATGTCTGACTTAAAGTTCTATCGGGACTTAAACTTCGATTTATAAGTATATGCTTCACAATGGAATTATCTTCCAGGATGAATTCCATTCATTTCCACTCGTTACTGCTTTTGCAAGCCCGAATTGATCTGCTATGATTGTAATTGGATACATGCATGAATGCTTATGGACTGAATTTGTAATATGACTGAACAAAAGAAATGCATGGATGCTGATATGTCTGCTATGCTTTTGAGAACTTGTGTTAAGGTTGATTCATATTCTTAACTAGTATCTCTTGTTGATTATAGTGAATAAAGAAATTACTTCAGCGTCTGAATATGCCAATGTGTTGCCGACTATTTGGTGCTTCTATTGATATTACCTCGTCTAATTGTAACACAAAACCACAATGAAAATTCGTCCTTTGGTGACCCATTTGCTTTTACTATAGGTAATAGCACCATTGAAGGTGCTATTAACTGGCTTTCTGAGCACCAGGAGGACACAGATATTGATGAGATGCCTCTGGTATGATGATATTCTTCTTTCATTTGGTTTTCAGAGTTTAGTGGTTTGTTCCTTTGATACTCTGGCGGTGCTTATCTGATCCCCTATTTAAAAAGTATAGGACGGTCTTGAATTTTGATATAATGATATATGTCTCGCTAGTAACTGGCTTCATAAAAGAACTTGTTTCAACAACCTTTTTAAGTTTTCATTGTAGTTCCTGTGCCTATCACAATTTTTAATCTTTGTGTTATATTCTTCAAATCTCTGCAAGCAACTATTTTGATCCATATTGAGGATATTGTGTATATTTAAAATCCGGCATATTTATTGTGCTTCACATGTTCCAACTGCGTCATTTTTAATGTTTTTCACATGTTCCAAGAAATGACAACATATGATCATATCACATTTCTTTTTTTTTTTTTTTTTTAAAAATATTCAGTTGGAAGCTAACTGGAAGTACATATTGTTGGTTTGAACTAGGCAACTAGTTTATGCCACATTGCATTGCCAAAGTTTGGCCATTTATACTTTGCTTCCACATGCATGATTTGGATGAACATTGACAATGCAAGTATTCCACTGCCACTGAGCTTTCACACTAGGTTTCATGTGTTCCACAGAGCTTTGGCTAGTTATTCTCAGTGGGGCATATGTTAAATATTATTTATTTCTATGTTATACCAATACTTCATCAAAAAAATACTTCTCCAACTCGTACAAGTTACCATCTTTTATTATTTAGGTACCAGCTAATTCAAAAACGGAGGCGAACAAACCTAGCCTGACTCCTGAGGAAATGAAGATTAAAGCACAGGAGCTAAGGTGCTTTTATGAACCTTTCTTGTGTATATCGTGTGCTGATGGTTAAATAGTTGCTTTAAAATGGATTGATTTGTTAATGTTGCTAGTTCTGAATTAGTGAACTAGTATTTGAATATTTTATGTGATTGGTGTGTTCTAGCTATCTGAATATCTGATACACCCTCTTGGTCTTCTGTATAGCTGTCGATCAGTAAGAAATGATTCATGTTATTTTCCTTTGAGAACATAACCAATATATTCGTGTTGATGAACAAATCATTTGTTACTTGTGTATAATGATGACATGTGATCTGCTCCAAATCAGTGGTGGTTTTGTTGCATTATTATGACCCTGCTGAAGAGTTCTTAAGTGTGCCCTTTTGTGGTGCTTGGATCATTGGATGATAAAAGACCCTGATAGAAATTACACATGGAACCCTTAAAGTTTCAGTCACAGATAATACTGGGAAAATCATATTTCCTTGAAAGCAAACTTAGCATTTTTTTAACACTAGTGTTAAAAGAAACTTCTTTTTTATGTTTGCTCCTAGTTGTAGATTTAGGAAGTCAGAATGGTTTGGGCATATAACTGTTTATTCTTTGGCGAATGTGGGATATTTTCTTTGGCATCTTATACTGAAACTTTCCCTGTCCATTTGTAGGGAGCGTGCACGTAAGAAGAAAGAGGAAGAAGAGAGAAGAATGGAAAGAGAAAGGGAGAAGGTATTTTCTCAACTCTCCTTTTTACCTTACTGCTACTTGGGTGCCCGTCTGTTCCACTGGTTCTCTAATAAACAAATAATCAATATTATATATTTATAGATGTCAAATAAATCAGTAAGTAAACCATAACAATCTCCCTGTACATATTGGTATACACAAACCAGTGCACTGAAGCTAAAGTGTAGAACTGATCAGATATCAGAGGGATTATTGTTTATAGACTAACCTTGTAGACCATTAGGCGCTACAGATCATCTATTTATTGAGTTATTGAAATATGCTATAACCTGAACAATACAGATTGAACAATTGGACATTTTAACATTTTCCAGGAAAGAATACGAATCGGAAAAGAACTTCTTGAAGCCAAAAGAATTGAGGAACAAAATGAAAGGAAACGGTTGGTTTTCTTTCCTTCTCTGTGATTTGTTTATTTCCCTTTCTTTTGCTTCTGTTTGATTTACTGTGCTCATTCCCTGTTGATTAACTTCTTTTCCACCATTTGAAGCATGATAGAACTGCGAAGACTTGAGAAAGAGGAGGAGAAAAGAGCTAGAGAAAAAATCCGCCAGAAATTAGAAGAAGATAAGGTTTCTAGTTTTTCTCCACTTCATCATCAAGAATATTTCTTGCTTTGTCATCCAATTTTTGATCGATGTAGAAAATACTAGTAATTGGGCCTTAAAATGTTTTCTTGGGTTCTCAGGCTGAAAGGAGAAGGAAACTAGGATTGCCACCAGAAGACCCAGCAGCTGCCAAACCAAGTGCACCACCTCCTGTTGAAGAGAAGAAGGTATTTTCTTTTAAATCTGGATTCCCCATTACTAAGATGGCTATAGTTTCCATTTTGTTCCATTTTTAAGCTCACGGTTTGCCTGACCTATTGGACTGATGAGATGAAAATTGTTAAGAGTATTATACTTCGTAGGAGAACATATTTCATCTACTAGTCTGCTAGGTTAATCTTAGTTCATTTCTTATTTTTTTATTTAACTCACTGCGGTATATGAATATGCAGAGTGCATTACCTGTCAGGCCAGCTACAAAGGCCGAGAGGATGAGGGATTGCCTAAGAAATCTTAAGCAACAGAACAAGGTACAATGTGTAGTTGGTCCCTTGAGATCCGCTTATTCCTTTTTTCTTTTAACACATTTGCATTGGAAATCCATGCCTTTGCTGTCATCTTTTGATTACTTAATAGAGCAGCTGCAACTGGGCACATATACTTACTTTCAAAAAAAAAAAACTGGGCACATATACTTTTTCGTTAGGTGTATGCATAAATATGACTGCAGATGTGAAAACTAGACATGCTATTTTTTAAGGTTGAACTAATAAGTTGCACTGACAAGTGTAGGTCCGTTGTGCCTTTAACTGTAAGTAGGCAACCAGATTGTAAACCTGTGCTAGATGATCAAATTAGTCTTCCAGACATGGTGCTTATATATAAGAAAAAATGTAACAAGACTGTAGGTGTGATGCTGCACATGACCTAGTACATATAGGATGGACTGCACAGTTTCTCAAATACTAAAGAGGACTTCAGCTGTAAAATGTGAAGAGAATTAGGCTTGACAGACTTGGAATTGTTTAATTGTAGTTCTTCGCTCTTTATTTTGATGCTTAATATGAACTTCCAAGCATAGCATTATGAAAAACTGTAGGGGCCAATTTCATGATCAACCATTGACATTGAAATTTATGTAACCACACACCCATTTTTGTGACAGGATGATGATGCCAAAGTGAAGAGGGCATTTCAAACACTCCTTACTTACATTGGAAACGTTGCTAAAAATCCTGATGAGGAGAAATTTAGAAAGATCAGGCTGACGAATGCAACATTTCAGGTAAAAATAAATCTTGAAATTTGGGAGAGTGAATAATGAGATCGATAACATGCTTGTTTATTCACCCCACCTTGCAGGAGAGGGTTGGAAATCTGCATGGGGGCATGGAGTTCCTGGAGCTCTGCGGATTTGAGAAACTTGAAGGCAACGAGTTTTTGTTTTTGGCAAGGGAAAAAGTCGACAAGGCTATCCTGAACACAGCTGGAGCCGAGCTGAATTCTGCCATCACCAATCCTTTCTTCGGAGTCCTTTGAATCGTAAAAAAAACTAGTACAATGTATACTCAAACCGCCTGGTTTCTTCTTTGCTTAACGTCAATTGTGTCTACTTGGCGCCAACTGTAGATTTCAAGTCTGGTCAGTCAGATTTCATGAATTATCAGATCGAGTTCACATACTACTTCCGTACATTATTGAGGCAATCTTTTGAAGCAACTGCTGTGCATACGTTTTTATATACTGGCGACTGGGATCTTTCAGATTTCATCGTTTCGCTGACCTCCATGCATTCTACGATGCTTTATAGCACCAAAAAAAGTGCAGACTTTCTCTGATGTATGCATTTTACAACGGCTTCACTTCTTAACGATCACCAGATCATCTTTAATTATAGATTATATGTATCATCTGATGAAGAAGTCGGCAAATCCCAGTCATCATCATCCTTAAATTCAGAGCTGGACCTGCTGGCCGTGAATCCAACTGAATGGCGCGAAGTCCGGGTCCTTGGCAGGTCCTGGACGCCCCAGCGGCGGACCAGGAACTCGAGGATGTCGGCGTAGTCCCTGGCCGTGTAGACCCCGAGGCGCTGCGCGACGGCGCTGAATCGCTCGAACAGCGCGTCGTCCTGGCCGTCGTACATGAGGTGCGCGGGCATGGCCACCTTCTTCCTCATGGTGTCTGTCGCAGAACCGACCAATTTATAAGAATACAAGTATAATGGCAATCCGCAAGCGGTCGCACTGTCATACTTGAACCCATATAAACCCGGTAGTCCGTCGAGTACCACGACGGGTCTCGATAAAACGATTTACAACAACCAAGATCGTGCGAGGATTCAACATACATGCCACATATTACATAAAGTTCACGAGATACTTTCATCATCGAGTACGAATAGAAAGTTATTACAAACCGAGTTTGATAATTAAAGCGGAAGCAAATAAGTTTGAAAATAAGTTTCCAACGTAGTTTGATACGATGCCGCCGAGCCGGATCACGATCCACAAAAGCAAAGATAGGAATTACTAAGGAAGCACGCCCAAGGCTTACTCCTCATCCACAATGGGATAGAAGCAACTCTTGCAATAACCATGATACACAATGCCATCTCGCAACATTGGGAAAAATAAACCACGAGTACGAGAAGGTACTCACTAGACTTACCCGTCATGAACCGAAATAAAATGACTCCAAGGAGTATGCAAGGTCAGATAAGTGGGCGTAACTTGACAACATTTTGCGAAAAAAGGCAATTGATCCGTTGTACAATTATGATTCCTTTATCAAGTTAATTATAACTATCCATTTCTAGATTAGCAACTATCCTGTACCAAACATGTGGGATATCATTCAAAAGCATCCAATAGTAACCATAGCGGTATTGTAATTCCATATTCATCCGAACCACCATGTTTCATAATATAGTCACTTTCACGATGTTGGGACTAGCCAAGTTTCTCACTATCCGGAGAGAGCGGCGATTCGAATCGATTTCAACCAGTGGGAATTTATTCCTAACACAAACCCAGATCTACCAACCACGATAGTCTTAGGTCACCTTTGGTACAACTCAGTACACATTTCGCGGGTTAAGTCACAGCGCCGCTAACTGGAACACCGGATGCCGGGATGCTCGAGCCAAACCTGCCCTTGGGCTCGGTCGATCGTTCCCGGAAGGCGCTATGAAACGATTCCGGCTGAGTTGAATTACTCGGCTTCGCCAGCGGTCGGAACGAATTATCCGGCCAGCTAAGTGAGAGGCATGCGTTCAATCTTGTCGAAGCGCCAACAACGATGCGGTCCTTAATCGACACAGACGGGGATAAGTCCACACCCAAGACCTCCATGCCTTGTTGCTTCCCTATCGATCTCCCGTCCGGTCTCAATTTACTTTTACCTCATGGTTACATTCCACGATAGCGATATATAGCCAACCGTGCTCGGTATCCACCTATATCTCGCGGTGACAGAGACATCACCCGACTTCTACCGGTCTAAGCATGGCTAAGCATATAGATATTCGATCCTGGACCTATACTGGGTTAAAGGTGTAATATCTGGACAAGGAATGTACATGCATCAAGTGGTTTCATTCAACTCTTATAACCTAATGCATCAATCATAAATAAATATAAGTAAACATTTGTAAATTACTTGGAGACTTATAATGCTCCGGGGCTTGCCTCATGAGAAAGGAAGTAGGGCGGTGGTCAGGGCACTCCGGAAGCTCTTCAGGGTTCTGCTCCACGCCTTCGGGAGCTGCGGCTTGCGGATCCTCCTGCGGGTTCCCTTCCTCTGCTTCTTCGAATTCCAGCAACGTGATCTCTTCCTCCGATCCTAGATGCATGAGTATGGTATAAGTATTATGAATGCATATATGTTAACAAGTGCATCACGTTGTTTGAGTAGGTGCATATCTCTTCTCGTTTACTACTTAACTACTTCTACAAAGCATCGACTATGCCACAAACAATAGCTACTTGTTTCGCTCATAACTGGAGTTCTACAAATCCAAATCTAGTGATCTAGGACTTTCTGGAAAGCTTATCCAATTCTCTACAACTTTGTTATTAACCATTTTTACAGTACACATCAGTTTCAATATGCAAATCATCACACTCTAGAATCAGTCCGGAAATGACTTAACATGCAACATAAAAGTAAGAATACTTCTACTTCAGGTAATCATTCAAAATTTGACAACCTAGAACCTACCAATAGTTTAAGCATACCAAATACAGTTAAGATGATATAATGGTAAAGCCCAAACTATTTATTAAATTGCCTTTATTATTTTTATTTAGATATCTATGTTAAATAATCAATATATATTAGATGTGCTTAATAAATTCTCAAAAATTTACAGAGCCTTAATAATGCTATCAAAGGACTACTATAAAAATTTCATGTCATTTTACCAAGTAGAACATTCTATACAAAAATGACAAGGCAGCAAGGCTTGAAATAGCATAAATGGAAAATCCTATTGAAAAGTGTCAAACAACAGATTTCATATTTTTCTTAGCATCCATATGGTACTAGTATCACCTCCAACAAATTTCATGAATTTTGGACTCATAATTAATTTATAAAAATTCATGCAAGGATTAACTATTTATAAAAGAAAAATCTATAACTATAGATCTACACATGCACTGGTTCTAAAATTTTTATCCAAGCTCATGTATGCTAATAATAGCCTACCACAAAAATTTCATAATTTTTGGAGCACAGGAACTCTAGATATAAAATAAACAAATTTAAATGCATTCAAAAGCACATTTGAAATCCCTATTTAAATCTCCAAAAATTTCTACTGTTGAAGCCAAGAACATATTTTTCCTAAATACTACACTCCCTAAGGAACACAACCATATTTATTTCAACATTTTTGGAGCTACCAATCTGCAGATACAAAAATAACAAAACCAATCAAAAACTGGATTCAAAATGGTTTAGCCTACACTACTGCTGTCGCTGACAGGTGGGACCCGCTGGTCAGGGGACCCCACACGTCATCGACACAGAGCAGAGCAGCGGCGCTGCTTCGTCACGACGCGGCGAGAACTCGACGACGGGGAGTTCGCCGGCGGTGAGGTCATCAGGGTAGGACCTACATGACCTGGCGAACCTATTGAGCAACTTGGCTGGCCTTATTGCTGACCCTAAAGCTAGCGGCGGCGGCCATGGCGGAACGGCGAGGCTGGACGACGGCGTTACGCCGGTGACGACCTCGGCGGCTCAATCAAACGCGCGGACAAGCATCTACGAGCTACTGGAAACCTAGCGCATCAACTAACGCGTGGAGTGGTAGACTAAAACGGCGTGGCCACGACGACGAGGTTGGCGGCGGAGCTCCGGCGAGCTAGCGCACGGCGCTGGGGCTTACCGAGTGCTAACAGCGGGCACGGTAGGGCGCAGGGGGTTGCTGGGAAGACGGTGGAGGGTTGCGGTGGGGATGGAGGAGCTGGGCGCGAGCTGGCGCCTCCAATGGCGATGGCGGGCTCTCGGCACCGGGGTTGCAGCGGCTGCGGCGAGGTGAGTGGCGAAGGAGAGCCGGGAAAAACGAAAATGCAGGCGCTGGGCGTTGCGGGCGAGCGCGGGCGACTTGAAGGCGCGCCCAGACGCGGCGTGGCCTGCGCGGTCAGGGCGCTGGCGACGCGCGGCCGTTCTCCCTTCCACGCGGCGGCCAAGGCCTGACGGCGGTCAGCCATGATCATTTGATTCAGCTCGTTCAGACACCCGAAGCCGAGCCTGACGCCGAGTTTTCACGATGATACAACGGCTAATCCAAGGCTCCAAAGCGTAAACCATCTTAACAAAAATCCTAGCCCTATGTACCAGCTTCAACTTTTATTAAGAGAGTAAGCTCTGATTCGCAACAGAAACGTGGAAAAATCGTGCTCAAGGTGGGCTTGTCAGGCTGTCAGTCGAGCATACACTTAGAAAATTTGTTAAGTGTTGAAAACTGGATTTTGCTGGTTTTTGTGGGACCCATTCAAGCATGTTAGAAGCAAAATCAGTCCATGACCTAAAAATGGAAGTTGTTCCTTATGTCAAATACTACAACTTTGCTTTAGTGAACTCCTCCATGCAAGGTCCCTAACACCTAGTTCAACTTTAGTCAAACATGTCACTTTGAAATCAAGATACACATTCAAACTATGGCTAAATGACCAATTTAGCCCTAGCCCTAAATACCAAAGTTGTTCATGATGATACTCTAAGCATGTTAAAACAATTTGCAAGGTCATTCAAGCATTCTATGAAGTAGTCACACATATAGCCATTCAGGTCAACACATGAAATAACACTTAAATGCTTGATCAAGAAATGTGGTCTTCATGAACAAGGTTCCTTTTGTTAACCTAAGTGTAGCTAAGGTGTTATAGTGACCAACATTACACACTAGCATTTGTTTGCACATGATCATATGCATATGTTCCAAGAATTACGAGATAACAAGCAATGTTTCATATGTTTCGATCGAATGTTTCAATTGTAAATGATGATTTATGAATGCTTGATGCTCATGCTTATGTTATGCAAGTCAAGTTATGCAAGGCTAACACCCGAGGTGTTACAGCCCCTCCCCCTTATAAAAATCTCGTCCCGAG